GCCCCAAGAATCGAATTTTAAAGAGTGTCTTTTAAGAGAGGGCACAATGGAATCCCTGGTATTAGAGGAAATTCTGAATGTGTACATTGTGAAAAAGCTCCTCAGGTCACTCTAATCTCCTTACCTTATGCCTGCCTCAGTTCCTTACCTCTTAGTGTACAAATCATTGCTTGAAATCTCTGAGCTAAACAATTAGAAGAGTGGTATTTTGACTGCTATTACTGAGTAGATTCCTATTTCCATCCAGCTAACTTGAAAATGTGTTTCATATTGGAACCAGGAGAAAAAGTGTGTGGAGATCAATGCAAATCTATCACCACAAGGAGACAAATAAGGCAGAGCACATGTACTGCTGACTGGGGGTCAATAACATTGTCTTTGCATAAGGAGAACAATATGTCCACAAGACAGCAGGGAAAATGAAAATATTAATAATTTCATGAGAGTCATATGTCACATAGGTTGTGTCGATGCTACATGAATATGAAGGATACACCTAGCTAACTACCCCATAAATCTAGAAACTTGATGATCAAGTTTGACTTTCTAAATAGATACCATCCAAATTTTCTTTTTACTGCAACTGCTTTTGAACTTTGACAACGCTGCAGGTGTTTCTCATACTTACAAAGACAAGGGAATTGAAAAGTGGTGACTTCCCTGTGCAAATAAGTAGTCATTTATGGATAAAGATACTGAGTGACTATACTATTTTCTCCCAGAACCAGGATTATAGGTTTCAAGTGTTGCTAGATGCTGTGTTGTCCGAATACAGAAATATCAGAACTATAGTTTGGGAATAAATCTATTCCTTGGAGACCCAAAATCAGGACAGGAGGTTCTAATAGATGTTGCAAACGGATCCTAGGACAAAGATTACTAATACAGCTTTAAGGCTGTCGCATGCTAAGTTTTCTCTGCCTAAAACATTCTCACCCCTCCAGCCTGTAATTTAACTCTACCATAACCTTTCGAATCCAACTCAATTTGTTTGTCTAACTAAATCAGACTTCCTTGTTGTATTACCCAGAGTACCCAGTTCTTAGTAGACTTACTAAAATTAGAATTTTTATTTATCTGGGTCTTTTTAAAATCTCTACCATCTCCATCATACTTAAAGCTACTTGGGGGAGGGACCATGTCTCTTTCACTCACCTTTATACCCCAAGCATTTAACAGTGCCTGGCACACAAGAGCCCCTACGTAAGTTTTTTTTTTTTTTTTTTTTTTTTTTAGTAAAATGAATAAAAGAATGAATGACAATATGATAAGCACACATGAATAGACCTAGAAAGAGAGTATGTTTAACTGTGAGCTATATCAGGCTGTCTGAAGATTCTTAAGTGGTAACTATTAACTAAGGGTGAATTTCTGCCCAAGCAGCAACCATCTAAAAACCGTACATTATGTAATGATCAAATCTTGCTGGATAGCAGTCATTCCACTTTGTGGTGATGACCTTAGATTTAACAGATACTTTACCAGCAAATAGACTGGTATATGTGGTACTAAACAATCATTTTTTTAAAACCTTTGTTCCAAAATAAAATCAGGTACATAATTTATAGTGCCTAATACTTATCTCCTTGACTTGGATAGGAGATGTTAAATTTTGCTGTATGTTATATATAGAGAATGAGGCCGCAGCTCATATTCTTAGGACCATATAAAATATACATATGTTTATATATGTACATTTCTATATACATTTGCATGTTAAATTACATACATATTTACACACATATATTTAAAATACATTAATATATTTTAGTTTCTTGTTAATAGCTACATATATACAAACACATGACTATCATCATTGGCCACTAAGAAATTATTCAGATTTTTAAGTTCTCATAGAAATGCACAAAATTAAGTAAAATAAAATATTTTTAAAAATCTGACCTTGGTGACATTTTCTTATTTTGTTTTACCCCTTATGCCGCTTTTTGCATTTGAAACCAGTACATTTAATTTAGCTCCCACCAAAGCTCAGCTTTAAGCCTAGCTTAGCGCCTAACATTCAGTAGATCCTCAATAAATGATATTTCCTCTCCTCATTGTCAAATTGTTTCATCTAGAGAGTGATGCTTGCCAGTTTTCATGTGAACCAGAGTAGCACTGGGTAGATGGAAGAGAAAACTGAGGTGAACTTTTGCTGTCTATCCTTGTATACAAATTTAAAATTCTATGGTACATGTGTTTTCAAAATTAGTCCAAAATAGGACATTTTACAGCCTTAATATTTCAACTCTCTGTGACCCTGCATAATACATGCTCTTGCCAACTCTCCATTATGCTGCATAGGTTTTCAAGGGGTAATCTCATGTGCCAAGAACACCCTTCTCTCTTTCAGGCTAAGTGTGATTCTGCACCAAAGACACTCCAGCCACAATCACAAAGACATGCAAGCTAATGCCAGTGTCAGAGCGGCTTTTGTGCATGCCCTTGGAGATCTATTACAGAGCATCAGTGTGTTAACCAGCGCACTTATTATCTACTTTAAGGTGAGAATGTTTGAGTTTACTCATTGTCATAGTAAGTTTATAGATTAGGTAGTACAGAAGCTAACCTGTCAATATTAACTTAAATGAGGGTGGACAGCCTATTTGCCTATACCAACTGCTTTGCAGGGTTTACACAAGTAAACAAATGTTCAAAGTCTGAAACCTTAGACTTTCCAAATTCCTAAGTGCTCTGTCTTCAACTGTAGGGCTACCAGTCTTTCTGGAAAGTAGTTCCTTTTGTCATGGAGTTAAGGTGAACACCATGGATACCTTAGGTTTCTTGGGTTGTATGCAACAGAAAAGATGCCTAGCTTACTTAAGCAAAAATATGTTTATTGGCTGAAATTCACTAGATGTACTCTTGGACAGAAATCAAGGTAGAAATAAGGGCAACATTGGGTATCTTAGATTTTAGAAACTTATCCACATTCTGTCCCAGGCACCAATGCAGAAATGAATGTGATTCAACCAATTTTTTTCCCCATTTCTTGTCATTCTGCTGGAGAGTCATATTTCTGGGAAACAGTCCAACAGACTAAGGTTGGGTCTTTTACCTGCTGCTTGGCTGGGGAGGGAGAGCACCTGATTGACTGCCCCACCAATAGCACCCACAATGGGGGAAAGATAATTCTCCTCTCAAAATCAGAGTATTAATAAGAAGTTGGATGGATCCTAGATGAACCTCTGACCCTAAGCAAACATTTACTACAGATCTGTTAGACCAAGAACTAACAGAAGTGGGTTGGGATATAGGTGGGGGGTAATGGAGAAGAGCATTTAGCTCTCTCATTTGTACCTTGATCATCCAGTTAGCAGGGATTCCTTATCATTTTTACTAAAAAATGAAAACACATATACAAAAATTACAAAGACATATCTGAATTCAATTGAACAAGTATTCATTGAAAGCTTTAAGTTTAAGGCAAAATTGTTCAAACTTGTACTGGTTAGTGAAATTTGAGAGTTTCTCAGAGGTAATGAGGCATGGACTCTTCTGTGGAACAGAACTTCATCAAGGGCAGAAGACAAGGTACCTCAGCCTGAGGCTAAGGGCTCTGGTGGTTGAGACAGTGCAAGAATGAGGCCTCAGCTCATACTCTTAGGACTTAATCAAAGATGCCTGCCTCAAATATGTGTCATCCTGAAGAGGGAAAGAAAGGAACTAACCCCAGTCTGCCAAGACCAAGCTCCAGCTGGACCTTGGTCATATGCAACCTCTGGGCAGGTGATACCCTTTCTTCTCATCATGAGGAAGGCTGAAAAGCCATCGAATATTGTATAAACTTGTGCATATTTTTATCACATACTCTGTGCTTCTATTAATTTGAGAAAAGTCAAATCAGGCCTTTGGAGAGAACACTCAAGCATATTTTCCCCTGTACATAGTTCGAAGCTTAAAAGAAGGATTGAGTCTTTAGGAAGTCTTGGCTCTGAGTTGGATGTAAAGTGTCAGGGACGTGAAAGGGTGACAGTGTGAAAAAGAAGCAGGGACATTTACTTATTTTATTAATTAGACTTTTTGCATGGAGGGCCCGAATTCAGATAACTGAAGAACCTTTATTTTCTAGCCAGACTATAAAATGGCTGACCCAATCTGCACATTTGTCTTTTCCATCCTGGTTCTGGCCAGCACCATCACTATCTTAAAGGACTTTTCCATCTTACTCATGGAAGGTAGGAGTGATTTTATTATTATTTCCAGGATCAATGTTTTCTCTTCCCTATAATCACAGAAGGGAATGGCATCAAGACATGTTCACCGTTAATTTGCATTCTAAGGAAAATACAAATTTGTAAAGAATTTTTGTGAAAACAAATATTATGATTTTTATTCGTATGGGAACAAATATAAAAAAAAAGCTGGTTTCTCTTTTCCTCCAGCAACTATTAAATAATAATATGACACAGTATAAAAACAATATGTACAAATACTAAGAATAGATATTGAGGGAGATATTGCAAAAACATAAATTCCTCCCTAAATATATGGAAAATACCTAAGAAAAATTGAATGATCTCTCTCTCAGGCAGCATTATAACTCCTATGAAGGGCTTGCCTAAAACCCTTCTTAGACCAGGCCAGCAGTGCTCCAACATCAGTGCATCAGAATCACTTGGGATCTGCTGGGGCTACCCCCATATTCCTGAACCAGTCAGTCTGGAGTGAGGCCCAAGAATTTGAATTTCTAACAAGATGCTGATGCTGCTGGTTTAGGGACTACACTTTGAGAACAACTGGAATAGTCTTTTCATAGCACTTAAAGGGTTACTACATGAGGGCACTGAGAGTGGCACCTAGAAAATTCAATCAGAATTAGAGGGTTGCATCACATCAAGCATTCAGATGATCAAAAGTATCCAGACCTTGGCTTGACCTTTTCTTTTTTGTCCAGCACGTTTTGACATAAGGCCAACACAGTCTCAGAGCGCAGGTGCCTTGACAAAAGCCCACACTTCCTTAGCATTCACTGCTGAATACACGTTTAAGAGTTTTGTCCTGTTGAGCACTATAACTGTTAGAGTACTTGTACTTAATGAAGTTTTCTAAAAATATGGAAAGGTATAAAATTATAAAAAGTCTCCCCACTTTTCCACCTTTGAAATCTCAATCCCATTCTTCAAGGGTAACACCTACTAATAAGTTGAAATGTATCTGTCCAAAAATATCCATGCATTTACATATATATGTACCTGAAATATATATGTATCTATAGAGTATATATATCTTTTTTTATACAAACAGAATTATGCATTGATACATATTTTGTTCTGCACTTATTTTCTTCATTTGGAGGTCTTTCCATATTAGCACATACAGAGATACACCCTATTCTTTTCCATGGTACAAAGTATTCCACTGTATGCATGTACTTGCTTATTGATGGATATTAGAAATAACAGTGTAATTACCATTCTGTACATATATATTTTTTGTGCTTGTATATCTGTAGCATAACTCCTAGAAGTGGTATTGCTGTTTCAAAAGTTATATGCATTTTAAAATTTGATAGATATTGCCATTTCTACCAAAGATACCATATTAATTTCTTTCCCACCAACAGCATGTGAGAATGCCCATTTCCTCACATCCTCACCATCATTGAGTATTATCAAGATGTTGATTCTTTTCTAATCTGATAGGTGAAATATTATAGGTTTTTGATTCCATATGCAATTCCTTCATTATGAGAGATATTGAGTGATTTTTCATATATTTATTAACCTGGGTAATTATTTTTTAAACACTAATTTGGGTATTTTCCTGGATGCTTTGATATGTCTGCAGGCTCTCTCTCAGGAAAAAAATTTCTAGTATATGATGGAGCACTGAAGGCCACTGGGAACACATCCTCTTGCTTGTCAACATTATTCTATAGAGTAAAATAAGTAACAGTGGATTTGTGTTCTCCATAAAAGTAAAGAGATAAGTGAGGCAAGAGGGAAGGGGGTAGTGGGCTTGTGATTTCATCTCGAGGGTCCTAGATGAGGACAATAGGTCTTCAGAGGGTTACATGAAACTCCTCAGAGATGACACATTAGGCATAGTAGTCAATTTTGGGTTCCAAGACTTAGACTCTACCATTGGTATAACATTTCACACTCAGAGCATGGACTTGAGAATCTGATGTCCCCCTTCTTTATTTGGCCTTAGCCATGGTTCTTAACCTCTCCTGACTCCCAATTTCCTCTCTCCCAGTTAAATAGGAATTGTGACATTGATAATTAGCTCTTAAAGTTCTTATAACTATTAAGTAAGCTAATCACTATGAATACAGTACTTAGCATAAACCCTGACATATGGTAGTTTCTCAGTAAAGGTGTGTTATTATCATTACAATATAACAATGTCGACCATGACTCCATCCACATTCTATGGCTAATCTAAGAACTCTTTTGTTTCTAGTGCCCTGAGCTCTGTGCAGCTCACAGAGTAAAAGAACAAGCTTTTGTTACCTCCATGAAACAATATGAAACAGCTCCTTGTTACCTCCATTAAACAATATGAAGTGGGATTAAACTAAACTAAAACTGTAGAGAATTTTAATATTAGCCCCAAGAAGGAAATCCCCATGAGCAAAGTTCTTAAATCCTGGAAAAGGAGGGTTAAGGATTCCCTATTCCTCTAAGTAAGTTGTTCTTGACTAGCTGCTCATTACAATCCTTTGGGAAGCTTTTTAAAATACTTATGCCCAGGCCCCATACCCAGAGATTCTGATTTAGTTGACTCAGGTGGGGGCTGGCTTTGATGTTTTTTTAACATGCAGCCAAGCTTGAGAACTAGAGCTGCCCAGTGGTTTGTAAACGTTAGTGCAATGGTTCTCAAACCTGGCTGTATGTTAGTCACCAAATGAGCTATAAAAATAGTGGTGCTTCATCTTATCCCCAGAGGATCTGATTTAATTGGTCTTGGATGTAACCTGGCAATCAGGATTCCTAAAATCTCCTCTGATGATATTAACGTGCATTCAAGGTGGAGAGCCACTTTGAAAGCGTGTCAATTTCAGAGACTCATCCATAGAAATTTTCTTCGGGAGGACGGGAATGGAGCTAAGGCATATTTATTTTTAACAAACACAGCAGGTGTTCATGTTGTGTATATATGATTGAAGTAGAAGTTAAAATGTGGTCATCCTTAGAAATCTCTTCTACAGCATCCTCTTTGGGTCATCGTTAGTTGGCAGGGATTTACTTATTGCATCAAGTGGCTTTATCAGTGTTATGCTGGTTGAGTTGATAAAAAAAACTGATATTAAATTGATGTGTTTTACAATTCTAACCCACCATTGGCTTGCCTTCTCTCTAGCCAAAGCAAGGACCCTTACACTTTCATATTCTCTCATCTTCCAAATGACAATCCTTGCAATGTTTGAGAAAAGTGATCCTTCTAACCTGAGCTATCACTTCTTCAGGCTAGAGAAACCCCAGTTCCTTCAGCCCAAAAGAATTGTTGATTGGCTGACAGGGTCCATACCTTCTTCTGTGCCCCTACACCATTCCTTTAGAAGCAAGGATGATGTCAAACTCTGACATTATATGACCTGGACCAATAAACCCTGGCTAATGCACCTAAATCAATAAAAATTCTATAAACCGAGTAATAAGATGGCATTCTAATGTTAGTAGCAACTATTAACACAGTTCAGTAAGTGACCTGTTGGATAACCACTATTTACATAGCATTGCAAGTGTATAAAGAGCAGATATTTTCCCATTTGCTCCTCAAAGAACTTAGTATACCTATTGCTCTTCCTGTCCCTATTTTAACCACAGATGTGCTGAGGATCAGAGAAGTTCCAAGATTTGGGTAAATTCATGGTAGTTGTGGTCAGAGTGCTAACCCAGAATTACTTGATACCAAGTCCCATGTTTCTTCATTTTGCTTTCTAGAGTGTATGAAAGATCATTAGAAAAAGCTCCATTGGTTTAATAACACACACCGAAAACAGAGAATGATTACTATTGTTGGTTATTGCATAACATCTGCAAACAGTCTTTGATGTTAAACCCTTTGAGTCAGGTGAATCTGAATTGTAAACATCTGAAGTCAGAAACCAGAAAGGGGGAGGGCACATTGATATTCTGGAGCGGATTTTGCGGCCCCTTTTAGCCATGTGGATGAGTTGTATTTAGTTAAATAAAAACAGCCTCCCTCCCTTTCCTCTTGTCAGGTGTGCCAAAGAACCTGAATTACAATGATGTGAAAGAGCGCATCTTGGCGGTGGATGGAGTGGTGTCTGTGCACAGCTTGCACATCTGGTCTCTAGCAACGAACCAAGCGATTCTCTCGGCTCATGTTGCTGCAGGTCAGTGCGTTCTGTAAACACTCTGCCAAAATTCAGTCCTTGTCCTGTAAACTCAATAATTTCCCTCCTTTTTGTAGAGCTGCCTATAGTGTCCACTGCCTATCAAAACAACTGTGGAGTGTTTCCTTTTACCAAAGGCCTTTGAAAGCACCTCTTGTCAATGTTATCATAGCAACAATGATACTGAAGGCACCCCTTGAGGCAGACTGCAGAAGGTATCGGGTAGACTAGATGGTTTAAATGCAACCCAGACTTCAGGGTCTTAGACTCTGAAAATCAGACCTCACCTGTTTGAGCTGGAACCCAATCAGTTAAATAATGGGATGAATTCAACAATAAATCTTTGTTGAATATTTCCTGTGTCTAAGATGCTCTGTGTATCACTGAAGATAAAAAGATGAAGGAGACATAGGTCCCATCTTTAAGATTCTAACAAGCTAAAAGACGTGCTAGCAGGGTTTAATGGTGGTTCCCTCACTGGATGGTTAGAAATTCTGTAATCATGTGCGATAATTCTTAGGATGTTGGGTTTATTCTAAAAACTACTTTCTCAAGTAGAAGGTGATTTGTCCATTATGTGTGCTTGGGCTGGGGAAATGGGCAGTGGAGAAGGGGAGGGGAGAGGATCCCTCACCGCCTCAGGAAGACAGCTCAGGAGAAATGATACGTCAGGCAACCAAAAAATAACTCAAGAAGTCACGTAGAGGCAGGCTACAGCAACAATGGTGACAGGCATTTGAGGACTATGCTTTCTTTGACATCCTCATCTTTCCTGAGAGGCTTAGATCTGGCTACAGGTAATTTATAGCATCTACTACACCAATATTTCACTGCAGATGAAAGAATCTAGTAAGCAATCAGGTTACTATGGAGGGAAACTTACAGTCTCCTGATGCCTTTTGGGACAAGAGAAAAGATGGTGGGGAGATTGCTGTTCTAAGAACAGTCTGTGGGGAGCTCTAAATGCTTCCCTGTTCCTATCACTAGCCTTGATATAAATGCTGATGAGATACAAGGGCTGCAACCCAGAGATCTCTGGGGACTGGTGGAAAGGGCCATATAAGAAATAAATAGCTGTGTCTTAGCTTTCTTCAGGCCTTATCTCCTCTTCCATGCTCAGCTTCTAAGTGTGCCAGACCCCAGGGAGAACTGTGGGCAGAAGAGTTCCCATAGTGAGAGGTACTTTGCCGCACTCGAATTTCCCCGTCTTGTCCGTGCGAACGGAGCTGTCAGAGCCAACATGGCTTCTTCTGAGTGCCCCGCCTACGCCCCTCCCATCAGGTCAAAGACAAAGTACTTGAAGCCGGAAATGTAGCAGTCGCCCACGTGTGTGCAATCAGTGCCAATCTTACCGTGGTTCTTTCTCAACAGAAGCCAGCCGTGACAGCCAGGTTGTTCGGAGAGAGATTGTTAAAGTCCTCAGCAGTAGCTTTACTCTGCACTCACTCACCATTCAAATGGAATCTCCAGCTGACCAGGACCCCGACTGCTTTTTCTGTGAAGACCCCCGGGACTAGTTCAGTCACAACATCGACTTCTCGCATTTGATGAGCCACTATATGCTGCTCTGCCATTTCCAGCACACAAGAAATAAAGAACCAAAGGAAGAAGTTTGAGAAATTCGTGATACTGTACAATGCAGATTTTATCCTTCTTTATTTAGCTCCATCCACCGAAGATGAAAATCCATTTAGATTCATCAGCCAATTGGGTTATCAACTCATCAGTAGCTGTGTTCAATTACAGGAATGTGTGTATAGACTGTTCCTGACTGGGGCTGAAGTAACAGCTGTTTGTAACCAGAGGCAATAAAAAGTTCATCTCCCTTCAATAATGTATCCTGAGGATGAGGGGGTAAAATTGAACTCGGGAAAGTCTTATTGGAGTTGGTGCCTAGGAATTCTCCCAAAATATGAGAAGCAAAAGAAGAAGAGCCAAGCCAGGTTAAAAGAGATTCTGGAGACCTAACACCCCACTATAACTTGACTCTCTCACCATGTTATAATATGATTTTGAGCACTATCTTTTTGCTCCCTATCCACATCACTATCCACCAAATGGGGTACAAATATCCTCTTCCTCTCTTGCTTACAAATTATGTTTTAATATGCTGAAACTATTGAATGATATTTTACTTGTCTGTATAAAAGCTCTGGACAAATGAAAAATTATGAAATTGCTGCTTTTTGAGTGTTTTCATGTAGTGTGACCTAATAATAAAATAAGGAGGCACAGAGCATCAGGGTTCTTGTCCCAGGTCACATGGAAAATAATTAAGTCAAAGAATTAAGAAGTCCCAGGTCTTCAATAATACTGATGGAGTCCCAACTATTGTCCAGGTATTGTACCAGTCTATTTACATGTGTCACTTCATTCTGTTTGAATGTCAACATTGGAAAGTTGGAACTAATACCATCATTGTATAGATAAGGACATAGGCTCACAGAGGTTTAGTAACTTAACCAATGTCATTTATTTATTCATTCATTCAAAAATAATTTGTCAATGCAGGCTATGAACTAAGCATTGGTGAATTATGTCAATATGGTCTTTATGTTCAGGGAGCTCCTTCCCTTTTGTTGGGGAGACAGGCATTCCACCAATAAACACCAGGAATGTACTACAAATAGTGGCAAGTGATGAAAGTAGAGAGCCTGGTTTAGATTGGGGGAAGTCAGTGGAGATCCTCTCTGAAGAAACAGCATCCAAGTTGAGACCTGAACAGATAAGTAGGTGATAGCCAAATGAATTATAGGAGGAAGTACATTCTAGAAGAACCAAGAGCATGGGTGGGCGCCAAGAAGAAAGAATTTGGTGCATGGGAGGAAATGAGGAAGGCTGTTGTGGCTGGAGGGTACTAAGCGAGGGGTGAGTTAAAAAACATGGAGGACATCAGGGAGGAGAGATGAGCAAGTGCAGTTGGCAAGGCAAGATTCTCTCATTCAGAGTCACTGATTGTATAATTCCATGCTTCTAGGACTGATTGTAGCTTAAAGTAAAATAAAGATATACAGGCCTACATCCTGGAAATCTTGAGTCAATGGGTCTGGTTTGGAATCTAAACGTCTTATTTTTTTTTTTTTTTTAACATACCCAGAGATATACTAAAGAATAGCTGGAGTCTAAAAGAACTTCAACCAGGGGCGCCTGGGTGGCTCAGTTGTTAAGTGTCTGCCTTTGGTTCAGTTCATGATCCCAGGGTCCTAGGATCGAGCCCCCCATTGGATTCTCTGCTCAGCGGGAAGCCTGTTTCTCCCTCTCCCACCACCCCCTGCTTGTGTTCCCTCTCTCGCTGTCTCTCTCTCTGTCAAATAAATAAATAAAATCTTTTAAAAAAATTAAAAAAATAAAAGAGCTTCAACCAAAGGAGGTCACTGAGTGGGGGATTCACATACCCAGATACCTACAGTAATATCTTGAATTGCAAACATGCAGATGGGGTATAAAGGGGCATTGCTGTGTGGGCATGGCCACTGAGGCTTCATGTCATTGAAGTGTCAGTCATGTTGGACTCTGATTTGTATCTGGAATTTCCCTAGACAGATAAAGAAAAAGGCATTCTAGACAGAAGACTATATGGAAGGTATACTCATGTTTACCTGTTAAGATTAATATTTTAAGATTTATTTATTTGAGAGAGAGCACGAGTGGGAGGGGCAGAGGAAGAGGGAGAGAGAAACTCAAGCAGACTCCACACTGAGTGTGAAGCCTGACTCGGGGCTCAATCTCATGGTCCTGAGATCATGACTTAAGGGGAAACCAAGAGTTGGATGCTTAACCAACTATACCACCCAGGTACCCCTACCTGTTAATTTTTATTTATATGTGGCAAAGGAAACTTTCAACTCTGATTTTTAAAACTATATAATTTTTACTACTTTACCATTGTACAGAACAAAAGTTATGTCTTTGATGATTTTTATGTCATTGTCAGCATCTAGCAGCGTGTTGGAAACCTAGCAGGCATTAAATAATCATTGGGGCAATGACTCTGGGGCTATGTGTGGGCCTTGCCATTATTTTTCATTTACATTTGTATTTTTCTGAAATTCTGAGGGCCAAGAAAACATTGACTTTGACTTAGGAGGTCACATCTGTGCCATCTCTGTGAATCAATCGGCACTGCTGAAATAGCTACTTAGCATTCTGCTGACGATTCACCCTGCTCAGTGGAGACAAATAGACTTGTCCCCCACCTCAGTAAGCACGTTTAGGCAACCAGAATTACAGCCACTCGGGTTTCTAATGTGCCATGCCTCAGCTGGCTCTCAAAATGGAAGGGATAGTTCACGCCAAATCATTTCTCCTGTCTCAGAGGCCATTGAATGGTTTTGCTTTTCCATATTTTGTGTAGGACAGAGCCCTTAAGACCTGGCAAACACAAAAGTTCTTGTGTAATTTCTCTGCTTTCTTTTCAAAATCATATTTATCTTTTATTTTATGTCAGGAATACACTGAATGTCAGGTAATCATAAGGTAGGGGGATTTGTATATCAACCAATGAATTGCCCCATGATCCCTAGCCATTTCTGCTATTTCCCTGAAATTTGACCTCTTTTGTCAGCTAGATTGAAAACTCTGGATGGTAGATGTTTTGGGGTAAGGTGCAAGACAATCTGCAATGGGGATTTTAAGGATTTGAAGATGAAAGAACAGATGACACCAAGAGACTTTAGGTACCATGTATCAATTTTGAAAGTCAGCTTCTCTTTTTGCCTCTTCCCTGGAGTCCAGGATTGTGAACTCCAGGCCACTGACATTCCTGGAATAGCATAGTAGAATTCTTTACTTTGTGGCATTGTATTCTCTCTGGCTATCAAAACATCTTTCACGTCATTCAAAGAAACACACTTTATTCTTCAGAGTACTGAAATCAGGCCAACTTCATTGCCACCCTCCATCCTTAATATGCTTCTCTGTCATCCAGCACCCAGTCAAGATTTATCTAGGACTCTATGGTGATGTTAGGGCCCATAAAAGAAATTGATGCGTTCCATATGTTTGGTTACAGATGGGAAACGGGAATGTTGAAGGACATGAAGGAGAGAATGTTTGCACTTTGAACATCACGTTTGTAGTTAGATTGCCTGAGTTTGAATCTTAGCTCTTGCCTTTATTAGCTCTGTGACCTTGAGCAGGTTACTTAAATGTTCTGTCCCTCTGTTTCCTGATCAGTAAAAGCTCCCTATTCAGATATGTGAGAATTTAATACATTAGGACACCTAAAGATGTCAGACTTGTGCATAGCATGTGGTTAGTTAGCACTCAGTAAATCTTAACTTTCACTGATTATTATATATGAAGTAAGTACGTATGTACATGTGCACCAACCAAATATTTATATCATCCCCACTTTTAAAAGGTTTTGAGTCTTCAACACAACTCCTGCAACAGAGTGGCAGAATTATTGGAGAGCATTGAACAGCTCTTTCTCTCATGGAGCAATTGAGGCTTGCTGAGATAAAGACGTCTACTGAGAACATTGCCTAGTGTGTGAGGCATGGACTCATTAAAATAGTTAAGTCCCATTCTGTCGCACTCTGACCACTCCTACTTTTATCTTCAAAGGCTGAGTTAGTCACTTCAAGTACACTTAATAACAAAGTACAGCTGTCCAGTTCAAGAAAGCAGAGTCACGGATCTCCCAACCCTTTTCCCCTGCTCCTGTGAAGGATCCCTTCCTTGGTTTCTCTCTCCTAGCCACAGTTTGTTCTAACCAGGTGCATTTCCTCCTTCTGGTTTCTAAATTGTCATTGGCATGGAGGCACCATTTCCTTATCTGTTAAATTTTGCAGAGCCATCAAAGGCCTTTAGCACTCAGGTGTCCAAAAAAAACACCTGGCATATACATTTTATAGATTCTTGGAGAATGCGGCTCTCCAGCTCCAGCTCCACCAGTGAAGTATGGGCCAGAGACTCCTTCAGAGACAAGCCTCATTTTCCTCAATTAGTTTAAAGTACCTTTAGGAAATGATTTTCTCAGCTCGTCTCCCTGCATTCCCTGCATTGGATCACGGGGCAATCTGTTTAAATGACTAATTACAGAAATCATTAAAGGCACCAAGCAAATGTCTTTGAATACCCACATCCCAAGTTTTACAAGTCCTGCTTGATGTGACAATGATGAAACCACTTAATGGTCCAGCGAAGGCGGATATTTAAAAAAAAAAAAAAAAGGTGACCATATGTGGCTCAGTTTCCTAACTTTCAGATTTCACACTTAACATTTGTCATTCTGTTACTGGACACCTGTTTAAATTCTATTTTAAAATGTTAATGTATGTTGTTTAGAACAAAATCAGGAAAAAGAGAGAGTTTGGGTTAAGTCATCATCTTTTTATCACTAAAATCATGGCGGAAAATATTTCTCATAACACCAATCAGGACTGTAATGAGAATATACTCTTCCATTCTCAAACTTTTATTGGAGGAAAGAACCCATTGAGGGAGCAGATTGGGCTAAAGGAGATGGAAGATGATCTAAGAATCAGGGGCACTTCTGAAATCATCTTGGTCATCCGTATGAAATCCCGGTGAGGAAAAGGATGGGGGTCAGAGACAGTGGGAGCCCTTGACAGTTGTAAAAAACAAACACACTTGTGCTTTGTCA